ATCAATATTTAAAATTTTATTAAAAATTTTAAAATATGCAGGCAAATTTGCCTGTGTTACAATCTAAGGGATAATGAAATTATTGTTTGTCATGGATGTCCACAGGAATTGTTGTCTAATCAAAAAAAATCTTTCTGCAATACTTTAGTTGATTCTCTTTGTCAACTAATGAATACTAAATATCGACTTGCTTCTGTCTATCATTCCCAAACTAATAGATTAACTGAATGATTCAACAAAACTTTGTATACAATCTTAGCAAAGTATGTTAGTGATTATGAGGATTCTTGGGATACTTTTATCTTTGCTACTCTATTTGCCTACCGAACAGTTTATAATCTACTACCAAATATAAGCTATTTGAACTACTCTATGGTCGAAAAGCTATTACACCTCTTGATTTAGCATTAAATTCTATTCATAATACTGAGTAATCTCTATATAAACAATAGCTTCAAGGTCATATTGATCTTATTACAAATGAACTACATCAAGTTTAGTTAAAAGCCTAACAAAATATTGAATTTGCTCAACAAAAACAAAAGAAAAAATATGATGAGCATATCAAGGAAGTTCTATTTTATATTTGGGATAAGATACTATTATATCGATCAGTACAAGCAAAGATACATGGTGATAAATTCAGGGAAAAATGAAAAGGACTATATTATATCCATAATATAGTTGTGCTAGGAGCTTATAAACTTTGTTCTATGGATGATAAAATTTTAAAAGGAACAATTAATACTAATTGTTTAAAATTATACTTTGACTGACCTTTATGGGAACCTACTATAATTATTAGCTAATATAATATATTGGTTCACTTTTCTTTTCTTATTATTATTATCTTAACAAAATAACTTTTATTTTATTAACGTCACTTTATTTTATTTAACAAAAACTTTATTTATAATATCAAAAAAAAAACAAAATATATACATATATATATTTATATATTGATTATTGAATCAATTACTTATTATTGAACGATATTATCATTATTATTATCATTATCATTATCTTTTTCTTCTTTTTCTTTTTCTTTTTCTTTGCCCTTCTCTTTAGTTTGATTAGTGTATTCAAAAATCGGAGGTGGAGATTTTTCTTCTCTAAATCCATCATACGCTTTTCGAGGTTTTTAATTTTTTGCAGCATCTCTTTTTGTGACTTCCTTTTTTTGAGTTCTGTATATATATATCGTTTAACTTGATACAAAGAAGTGCATACCCTTTACAACTTGAATCACTGGAATATTCCTTAGTTTTCTTCTCCAAATAATTCAATGAACTTGCAACTGCAGCTACAGTATCTTGAAGGGAACCGATGTGTGTGAGTAGAAGTTGAGGAAGAGGAGTCAGAGGTCTGAATAACATTAAAGCCATACTTTTCAAAGAACATTTCTTTAGCTAAAATATATGCATATAGATGAAAATTTTGTTAATATTTTGGTTAAATACAAAATAGCAACAAAAATTTTATAAATATTATTTCATAATAGAGAAAACAAAAGAGGGAAGTATACACAAAAAGTAGAAAGGGCTAGCTATACAATACTAAGTATTGAGCTATGATCTTTTCTCGCTTTAACCTGGGCACCCAAGGAGTCAAATTATCGAAATAACTGCTCTAAGCAATCCAGTGGAAAAGCAAAGTTTCTCTATAAACTAGTATGATAATTATGAATAATAGAAGTTAGAAAAAGTAAAAGGATAAATAATTATAACCTTGGAATAGTGGAGGTAGTTTGGGGAAAAATTGTTAAAGCGAAACGATAGATCTATTAGTTTTATAAAAAAAAAAAAAAAAATTTTTTTAGTAGGAAAATTTTTAAACAATCGATAATCAGTCACTACAAAGCAAAAGCCACAACAATTAGTCATGCTACTCCAAACATGAATTAAAAATCTTTTTTTCAAACAAACAGAAAAGTTTTACACAAATCAAAATTTATCACGATAGTATCTAAAGTAATAAATTATTATAATTGTTGATTATCAACAAGTTTACAAATCAAAAATGGAAATCTGCCATAATGATTTGTTGATAAAGTTTAAAGTTAAACTTTAAAAAGATTAGCTGATAGAAACTTTTGG